TTGCCACACCAGAGTGGGGTGAGACGAGCCCCAGTGGGGGGAATCGTCTCACCCAGTTGATGTCACGTGACCATTAATTCTCCAAGCGGCATTCATTTTGTCCCTGTCAATGTAACCAGGAGAATCATGTGTTGTGGCATTATAGGCCTGGTTCATTTACAAAACGTTTTTTGCTTGTTAAAGGTCTTTTTTTATCTTTTTTTTTTTGACCAACATGGATTTTTATTTTCTTTTGTTTTGGTTTGAAATGTCGCTAAATATAGCAAGAGAGTCGCAGAAGCAGCAATAGTGAGTGACCATTGCTAATTGTAATTGTTCAGACAACCTGGTCGGGCTGGTCGGTCAGTCAGATTCTCACTGCGGAGCAGAAGAGGACAGTGTTGTTTTTTTTTACCTTTGCTGAGGTAGATAAGATCGATGGAAGGATTTTTCCATCACAGATCCCCCAAGTTAAGGAAAACGGGTCCAATCTTATGGCTACTTTTAAAGGTAAATTTCCCGTATCTGTAGCGCTTTATCAGATCCAGACGCGCTTCACGCTACATTCATACAGGCTTCTGTAGCCACACTGTAGACAGTGCATGCAATTATGCAAAGCAGCTACCAACAGACTTTACTTCTGCTTCATATCAGAAAACATTGGTGATTTCTCCAAAGTTAGTAAGAAGGGCCACAAGTCTTCACACCCCTACTACGTAAACAGAAATAAACTTTTTCAGAAACTTTCTGAAACGCTTGTCTGAAAGGAGCTTGATGCAGTTGTTAACTTAGACATGTTGTTGTCTTTTGCTTCATGGAGTGAAGTGAAACCAGCAATGATCTGTCATCAAAGATGTAACACAAAAAACAAGCAAATCCCATCATAATCCCGCGTACGCACAGCATTCATTTCTACATTTGTATTCATGTCTCCTCAGGTGCATCATCACTGGCATGGCGTCCGGCAGCATCGTCCTCTTCTACAACGACTTCAACAGGTGGCATCATGAGTACCAGACCCGATACTGAGGTCCTGACCCGATACTGAGGTCCAGACCCGATACTGAGGTCCAGACCCGATACTGAGGTCCTGACCCGATACTGAGGTCCAGACCGCCAACTGACCCGAAGTGAACTCTTATCAAACGCCGCTGTTCTGCCAACAGCTCCACCTTCTGAATGTAACCCGGTGGGAAGAGAGAGGCGGGGAGGAGGGGGATCTGTTCTGTAAGAGCAACAAACTATTTTTAAAAAAAAGGGCATTGCTATATATTTTGTAGATTAGATAGAAAGTGTTTCCTATAACTCTTTAAGGTGAGGGGGTTCTGTAACGGTTTGAGTGGAAATAATCTATTTTTAGCTGTAAGAGTCTATTTTCATCTCCTTCAGGATTAGAGCAGGGGGGCGGGAACATGTTAGGCTGAAAAATCCAAATATTTATGTACTTTGGATTGAGTGATTTGTGTTGGTGTGTATGTGTGTGAGGGGAATAATTATTGAGCTATACTTCACTTAAACATGCTTTTTTTTTCTTATTCTGGAAACACAGCAAGTAGGTTGGAAATGTATGAATAAAAAAATAACAATGTACTTGACAGAAAGATGAGCAAAGAGGGAAAACTTAGCGATACTATCTATAAACACGGCGTCCTTATTTAAGATGTCTGCTCCCGCTGTGCTTGCTCTGATTGTTTATGCGCGAGGCTCATATTCAGTTTATTTAAAGTCTAGGATCCAAAACGTCCCCCGTTATCAGCCATTTCAGTAAGTCTGCTTCCGTTCCAAGAATCATTTCTTTTCCATTTCCTCTAGTGGTGAGCTGGTTTCTCTAAAACCTTCACTCTGACTTCAGTCTCCAAAGCAGCAAAGGTCGGCAGTAAAACTGCAGCAAAAGGAGAAACTTTTTCCCCGTTTTTGCTTGTTTCATTTAAATCATATTCATTAATTAACGAATTGTTTTTGAAACGTTGTCCAGCACCAAATTGTTGAGACAAATTGTCTCTGGAACAACCATCCGCCCCCAGGATACCTGATTAGTAAGAAGACATTCCTTTCTATAAAGTCTGTGTCATTTTGGCTCTGATTATATGAAGATAAGTATAACTCATTATTTTTGCAATCATTTGGAGTGTTTTTGTTTGCTGACTTCTGACAATAAAATGAATTTTATTATTTGAGTGTTTGAATGTTTTCTTAATTTCCTATTTGGTTTTATTAGAAATGCACAACACCCTCTAGTGGTCAATGTTTGGATTCACACACAACAAAATCATTCATTATCCCTGCATGGCCACCAGAGGGCGCCGGTGCATCTCTGAAGCAGTATTTGGGCTCGTGTGGTAACCATGACAGCTCCACAATAAAAACAGCTGATCAAAATTAATAATAAAACTCATTTAATAATAAAACTGAAGCTTGATTTTCAGCTTCTTGACTTTCTCACAGCTCACATTTTTTTACTGATGGCAACACAGTACAATGAAGAGCAACTGAATCGTACTGACATTTAACTTTGGCAGATATTTTCTAACCAGCTTGTGCAGGTTTTATGATAGAAAGTTCTGAAGTGATCTGTTTTTGGATTTATTTCTGTTTTTGGATTTATTAAAGGATTTATTTCTTTGAATTGCCTTTTTTTATTTAATTTAATTTTTTTAATTTCATTTGTATGATGCCTTTCTAAGTTCTACTCAATGATTCGTTACTGAAGTACTACAATATATAAGTAAACAATGCAACATAGAACAAACAGAGCAAACGTAATCATTTTTGGGTTTGTTCCTGAAGACGGGGAGATTGGAGTGGTCAGGCCGGTGACTTCTGGAGGTTCAGGCGACGATGAGGAACTTTCCGTCTCTCCAGGTTCAGAGTTTAGTTCCACAGGACGAACATGGGACTTCGAAGGAGCAGAGGGAGAGAGGATGGGTGTGTTGGTTTTGGATGTGCTGCAGTTTGTTGATAGTGGACCACGCAAGATGATGTCGCATTCTTCAACTCTGGATGTGAAAGATGAAGCCATGCCAATGTAACATAGTTAATATTGTACAGAATTCCACTTGTCATTACTTCCAAGTTTGGGTTCAGGTGTAATGGGTGAAACAGCACCCCCTCCTGGTGGTTGGCAACATTAAATATAGTGAACATAGATATCTCGTTGCCAGTTCATGAGATGCGCGCGAGGTAGGTTCACTGGGAGCATTGTAACGGTCCTGTGGAATGTTCTGTTAGATTGTTGCTAACATAAAATACTATTCCTCGTAAGGTGCTGTATTGCCGGTGATGAACCTGGTCCCTGATTGTTTTATATCCAGGTACATATTGTTTCATTTATTTGTTTTATTTCCTTGTAATTCTGTCTTATGTTAATATATGAAATACGGCCGTTGGCCAGTTCATGAGAGATGGGCGCGAGGTGCTGTACTGGCGGTGATGAACCTGGTCCCTGATTGTTTTATATCCTGTTTCATACAGATAAACTACATCTTGTATCATCCTGTCTCCTGGTCCATATTCACACACCGCAGAGTACTGACGAAAAGCCATAATAATTAAAAAGGTTACACCAAATTTCTGAGATGGAAGAAATCAGTCTGGCTTATTTCATGTCTGATTTGAATGAAAGTGTGGAGTTGAAAAGGATATCAAGATTACAGATGAGTGATGGTGTCAAAGTTCAGGCAGAAGTTTTGAGTGGATTTGGAGACACTTTCTGAGCCAGAGAGGATCTTGTTTGTTTTGTCAGTGTTTAGTTTGTGCTTCATCCAGGTTTTGGTCTCAGTGGAGTGGATGTGGAGGGTTTTGGATGTGGTGGTAACCTAAATCTGTATCTCAACTGTGTAGCAAAGGAAGGCCATGTTGACTGATGATGTCACCAAAAAGGAGGATGAAGAGGAGAGGACCGAGCACTGAACTCTGGGATAGAGAAGCTATGGAGGAAATGCAACGGTTGATGTGAGTAAATAAACAGTTTCTGGTTTAAGAGGTGCGACTGAAACCAGGACAGATCAGAGCCAGTGAGGTTCAGATGGAACAGGAGGGTGGATTGACTGATGGTGTCAAAAGCTGCAGTGAGATCCAGAGGGACGGCCGGAGTCAGAAGAGGAGCTTGATGGTAACTGTGAGAAGAGCCGTTTCTGTGTTTTGTGACTGGAATGGTCCAAACAGGCTGTTGACGTGTGTCTGAAATTGATTAGTTGTGACACGTTAAAGAAAGAGAAGATTGGATGGAAGCTTATGACGTCATCAGTGTCAGGACCAGATTTAAGTTTTTAAGTATTGGGCTGATGGCTGCCAGATTGTGACTGTGGAACAGATCCAGAAGTAAGATCAGGGGATAGATTGAGGGGAAGGAACCAGATCCAAGGAGCAGGTGGGAGTATTAATACCGAACAAAAGTTTAGGAGACTGAAGAGAGGAGATTAGAGTAAAGTATGAGATCTGCAGACTGGAGCTGTAGGGAGCAGAGGGGAGAACCAGGGAATCATAAATACTATCAGTTTTGGCCTGAAAGACTGAAAATTATTGCATTTGGTGGTGTTAAAGGATGAGAAAATATTATTTGGCTTTAGAAACATGTTGATAGCTGAGAAAATAGATTGGTGGGTTGTTGGAGCCAGAATGGATGAGACTGGAGTCATAATTTGACCAGGTGGTCAAACCTCACCTACAGATGTGTGGACGTTTTAGATCCACTTTCCTTCCATCCACTGGGATGTGGAGTCAGTTGCTCAACAGCAGAGAGCATTGTGAAATTATTTTGATCATTTTTGATCTGATTATTCATTTCACAGGAGGAATTCAGTGGAAGACACTACATTTTGAGCCATGTTGTCATTTTATGGTATTGAAATAAAAGCACACATCATTGAAAAAGCAGTGGAAACTGTTAAGAAGTTGTTAGAACTTAATCGTAAAGTAGATCACCCAACGCAACGGGCGCTGACCTGAAACAAAACAGACATCAGTGTCAACCGATTGTTGCTTGTCATACTTTTAAAGAAATGCACAGAAGTAAGAGCCAATTGAAGGACAGATTTCTTTATTAACTACTTGGTGTTAAACTCTGCGCTACTTCATCCAAGGTAAACTAAATTGTAACTGTTATTAATCAAGAAGACTGAACTACTGAGGTCAAGAATAACAACAATGGAGTAAAGGTTAAATGTGCTGGAACGTCTGCATCAGAAACAAACTCAATTTTATCTGCTAAAGCAATAACAGCTCATATTCCAACTTTTTTCCCTTAATCTAAACTAGTGGACTACAGGAAAGCAAAGAGAGATCCAAAAAGAAAAGCTCGATGAGATACAGTAACATATTACTTCAGAGGGCTAACAAATTCACGACAGTCTGCATTTTAATAAATAAACATAATGTACATTCAGACTCCTCTGTCTTTCACGAAGCATCTGGATGAATCCTGCTGCCACCAGAGTCTCTGGCTCAGTTCACATCTGAGAAATTCACACTGACAGTTTGTCCTCTTGATCCACAGAGTAATGCCGTGGATCCATCTGGACTGGAACGCATCAAGATTTTAGATCTGCTCTAGAAGTTCTTCAGCTCGTAGAGGGTAGGAAGGAGGGGGAGCAGCTGGCGGCGTGGAAGGGGGAGAAGGGAACAGAGTCGGCTGGACAGAAGATGGCGAGGTGGGAGCTTGTTTTGACGGAGAAGAGAGTGGGAAGAAAACGAAAGGTGGGATGGGGGAAATGGGGCATGGGGACGACTGGTGGGTGGGAGAGGAGCGGTCCGGGGCAGGATGGTTGGCAGATGATGGGGTTGAAGAGGGAGTCACGCAAGAGAAAAGATGAAGAGCAGAGGGCGAGGAGGGAGCCAAGGATGTGCATGGAGTCAGAAAGAGTGATGAAGGAGGCGACTCTTTTTCCGGAGGGGAGGAAAGAAGGAAAGCTTCGGCAGAGTGGGGAAGCAAACGTGCAGGAACAGGAAGAGGCTCTGTCCGCTGACGGTCCCCAGGATAAGCAGTCACGGTTGGAAAAACACACTTTGTGGCGTCTGGATCTTTGTCGCGTGATACTTGTTCAGTGAGAGAAGCCAGTTCGTTTGGGAGAGCAGACGAGACGTCCTCTACGTCTGAGCTTGGCTCAAAGCGCGGTTCTGAAGAGCTCAGAGCGTAGCGCTGAAGGGTCTCCTTATCTAGAGCCGTGTTCTGCAAAAACAGACAGACACACGGAGGGTTCCTTTCAACAGATCAACATAAAACAGCTTACCTTGAAATCACCAAACAAACGATCTTTCATCAATTACATTTCTATTTTTTTAACCAAACATAACTATTAGTTCCGCTTGCAATTGAATGCCATTATAAAATGAAGTGGCATAGACAGAAAACAAAATGTGACAGATTGGTATTTACAGAATTAATACACCTTGAACATCTATCTATCTATCTATCTATCTATCTATCTATCTATCTATCTATCTATCTATCTATCTATCTATCTATCTATCTATCTATCTATCTATCTATCTATCTATCTATCTATCTATCTATCTATCTATCTATCTATCTATCTATCTATCTATCTATCTATCTATACACACACATTTACTTAAAACAGTGTCACAACAGAAAAAATACTGTAAACTGGAAATATGTTTCAATTCATAGCAACTTTTGTAAACTGTCAAAATGTTTGTTGTTTTTATAACAACTTACAAGTATAATCAAACTTAGATGTTAAAACTACAAATGATGGTAAAAACAGAAAAATATAATAATACTCAGAAAGCAGTTATGTTAATATTACATTCAAATGATAAAGATCAGTGATTTGGTTTTGGAAAAAAAAAAAAACACTGACCAAAACTATTTTTTGTCAGTGGTTTATGCTGCACAATGAAAACAATCCAAATTGTGGTTAGAAATATAGTTTCAAAATCAGTGGCGTACTTGAGTACAATTTTCATGTATCTGTACTTAAGTAGATTTAATAATGTATACTTTCAACTTTTACAGTAAGTATCTGACGTCGACAACAAGCCACAGCTGGCGCCATCTCTGGAAAACTGAAGAGCAGAGAACAAATATTCAATCTGGTTTGAGGACAAAATCCATTGGCATTGGAATCCTTGGCTGTTCGATCCGAAAATTAAACATTTACGTGGTGAACTTCACATTTAATTTTCTTCTCAGACCAACAGTAAGCACACATTGCAAAAAGCTAAAAGCTTCCTGTCGGTGTTTAAAACAACTAGATCAACACATGGTAACTTCACTTAAGACTTGTGCAACTCAGAAAATTGGCAAAGATGTAAGTCAAATTGCCGTGCAATGTTCTAAACATAGACAGACATTGTATAATACAGGGCAGCGTGCAGCTGGATTATTCTGTCCATTAAAGAAAAGACTGCAGAGATCAGCTCACTTCCGTCTATGGAAGCCCAAAGTTCATCAGCAGCCCAGGACTTTACACACAGAGAGGAAAACTTTGTCATTCCAGTGACTAAACTTCCTGAGGATGCAATTCATTCTTTGGGGAGGAGGGGAAACTCCAGACTCAAAGCTGAGAAGACAGATGGTCTGGATTGTTGTGACTGAGCTGATGGAAAATTGCCTTCAACCGATGCCACAAACAAAATGGTGGCAGAATATCCCAGCTGTAACAGAGAGGGAGATATTGTGCCCACAGGCAGCCACTCTATAGTCGAACATTTATGGAAGAGAACTGAAAATGTGAGGCGCACTTCAAAACCAAAATTAGAAAGGGAGAACATTACACTGACTCGGATGAGATCCAATTACAAGCGAGAGCCGTAACACATTAGATGCATTAGATTATAAAATTGCTGCCTTGCAGAAAAGCAGAAGGTTGAAGAAACTCAGATGTTTCAACAGTTTGTTGCCAAATGACGGGAGGTGAAACATCTTGTCTAATGTCAAAGTCCACTTTTTACTCACACCACCAACATGTCAACTAGGGTAAAAGCTCAAATGAAATAGAGGAGTGGCTATTTCGGTTTATAACATGTTGGTCCACTCCAAGAAACTGGATGTGGTTAACATCAACGAGAAACTCATGTGCAATCTGGATCAGAAAGGAAAAAGGTTTGTCACCGTTTGGGTCAAAAGAAAGAGGAAGTTCCTTCATACCGAGACAAGACTTCAGAGGATGTGGGACGGTGGAGTGAATGTTCCTGTTTCTGCTCAGCCTCTTCGATGGGAAGATGAAACATGTCTGGCAGAGAAAGTGGCTCTGATGTCATCGTCTGTGGTAAGTCTGTTTCATATGCTGTTCCTCAACAAGTGAGTCTGTCAGACTGTTATCCATACAAAGGTCTTGTGTTGTACAATGCATTACATTTTCTACATTGTACAATATCCATTATTCATCTGAGCCGGCTTCAGCTCTTGAGTTTCTTCAAAGGTGAGTACGTACAGCCTGCTTTCAATTTGTAACGATATAAAATTAGATATATTTTAATTTAAACAGAAAATATTGAAATGCATAATGAAAAAAACAATTCTATTGGTGTTTTTCTCAAGGAAGAGGAACAAAGAATAAAATCTCAAAGTTTAAAGTGAATCCTCACCTTGAAACAGGAACACTCTGGTCACCAGAGGTAATAATGCTCTATTGATTGTTCATCGAAGCAGCACTGAAAGTTTATGCATCAATCCACAATTTGTGTTATTATAATTAATGCATAGTTATAGTTGGGCTATATGTTTTGGTTGAAGTGTTAAGATAACTTCTTATGAATGCAAAACATTTATATTTTATTGGGTTTGTGTTTTGTACCTCACACTTAAAATGTTTTCTTTAAATTGACTCAAAATTTAAAGAGCCTAACCTTCTGTGGTTTTTCAACAAACCAGAACCGAGTTTCTGTGCTTGCAAACTTTGTCTTAGCAGCCTACACTGGAAAAAAAGAATCCATCCAGTCGTTAACTAGTCAGACTGACGGTTGTTCAATACATTTTTCAAGAACGGTATCATGAGATCTTAAATTTGAAAATCAAAATTTAAGGCCCTCAAGGTCATAAATTTAATTTCTTCAAATCCCCACATTAGATTTTAGGTGTAAGTTTGAAGAAAAACAGCAGGAAGGCAGAACTGTGGGAATTAAGAGGAAAGAAAAGGGTAATGGTAACAGCCAGACTGACTTTAGTGACTTCTTGTCCTCTTCTACCCTCTACATTGTTGTCCTCATTCTTTTTTTAATTCTCCAAGCCCCAGTTTACTCTGTCACTTTACAAAAAGAAAATATTGTCCTTGAAAAACTCTTGAAACTGTGATTGTTGCAAAAGGAGGTGAGCTAAAATGTTTTGTCTGTTTTATTATTAAGATAATGTAGAGATTTTAATAATCTTGAAATTTGATAACTAAATTTATAACAATAAAATATTTATTTATTATGATCATTTAAATGGAATGTGTTGGTCTGAAATTTCATTCCTAATCATCCTAAAAGGTCTTAAGTTTTAATCCTGTAGGAACCCTGTTGAAGGTCAGTCACATTTTATGAATTATTTACATTATTACTAGATTTGTTCGACACCATAAGTAATACAAAATTTTTACAAAATGTGAAAGAAAAGCTCTGAGAATGATGGAGGTAAACTGAGTTTTGGTAATAATAAAGGGAACTTGCAAAGGAAATCACTGGGGTAGCAGGACAAGCAGAGTAACGAAGGATCCGGTATTAAACAGAGAAATCAGTGAGCTAGATATACGCTGAGGAAGAAAAGCATTGGATGTAGAAATCAGGCAATAAAGAACAACTGTGAAAGGAAGCAAAGCTGGCAGATTAAGAAAAATTGAATAACAAACAGACTGAACTCGGATTTAAAGAAACAACACAAGAACAACACTGATCTAAAAGAACAAAATCCAGACGCACAAAGAACAAAACAAAAGAATAAACTAAGAAACTAGATATAAAAAAGTGAACAGGTATGGAAACACCTTTAAGACAATAATGAACTGAGAGAACCAAACAGAATATGCAAGACATGATGAATATAAACAAACAAGCAGAAATACAAAACCACTGGAATCCAAACAGCCAAGGATCAAAACAGTCATTCTGACTATCTACACGAATCCAAAGTGATTAGAAGATCTTTGGCCACTTCAACGCACTTCCTGATTTCTCCTCAAGATGGCAACGACGTACCAATGATTTTTGTCTGAATGCCATACGTTAACCATATTTATTAATCCAAAGAGTGTATCAGCTTATTCCATAAAATTCCATGTGAAGTTCACGTGGATTCCATTTGTTTAGTAAATTCCGCAACTCCTCCTGGATTTTCCACACTGCAGAAATCCTAGAGCCCAGCTAAACTCACTAAGCCGTCATAGTGAAGAAAGCAAATCACACCGTTTATGTGAACTCATAAAACAAGAATGCAGTTTGTTTAAAGTAAGAAATGGTGAAAAATGTGAGTGTAGGAGCAGAGTTACAATTAGGAAGCTTAAGACGTCAGTGGGACACAGGCAGAAGTTCCTGAAAATGCCAAAGACGAGGACAAATAATGTCAAAGGAAGGGACAGTGAGAAGTGGGCAATCAATTAAAACGGTGATGGCTTGAGAGGAAGATGGGAGTGAGGATGAGGGAGGTGAAAAAAGTCTGAAATACAGGAAGAGATAAAATGTGTGGTAGGCTTTGAAGTTCTGTAGTCCTGGATCAGGTGTGAGGGAGGAAGAGGAGGAGGATGAGGAGGAGCCACAGCTTCAACCTGAATTTCAACCTCAAACTGTCAAATGAGATTCACAACATGTTGAGCAATGTTTCAGTGTGTCAGACTTATAAAATGATCTGAGAGGAAGGAGGAGAACATTCAGGACAGTAAGGGGAAAAAGTGAGGAATTACTGAGTGCTTTTTCTGCAACGTTTTCTCTATTCATCCCTAAAATTCTGCCAGATACATTCACAGCGGCTGAAGTCGTCTACCATGTGGCATTATAGCCCGTTTGGATGATGAGAGGGGAAAAAGAAAATTGTCCTAGTAAGTCTGGAATTGGGGTCAAACATTCACCGTCCTCCTCAGCTGCATGTCAGCTCTGATGAAACCATGTCAAGGCTTAAGTACGGTAAGAAGATTTTTCAGAACATCTAGAAAGAGCTTTAGAGATATTTTCCCACATGTTCGGGTCGACGACGCATTCATCAGCTTACCATGATAACGGACACTCCGGCTGTGGTGCTGTTCTGCTTCAGTGCCGCGTTGAAGTGCGTCTTCAGTTTACCTGAAACCTCCGTCTTCATGTTGGTCTTCATCACTGCGTCATGCTGTGTGCAGCAGAGAGACGGCCTTCAGGTTCAGGCTGTCATTGAGTATGCATGCAGAGAGACTGGAATGTTTTCTCTGGGAGTACCGTGACCCAGGGGTGTGAGAGGACGTCCTTCGCCGTACTTCGAGCCTCCACATTCACCTGCAGCATCCTGCTGATCAAATCCTGGACAGAAACCAGAGCAGTAGTTTAGCTCCAATCTACATCTAAGTGTTTTTCAACCAGTTGTTCGCAAACTTAGCCTAATGAACGGTAGCTACTGCAAATAGTTGCTACTTGGGATGTGTTTCAAGCTGCATTAAATCTACATACTTAGGTTTATCTCCAAATTGTTTTCCTTTGGAAGTAAAAGTTTTACAGATATCAGAAGTTAGAGGTTCACAAGAAAACCAACTGAACAAAAACCCAGTGATTCATAGATTAGCTGTGCTAATCTATGTTCTCCACAGCTTGGTTTGTTGTATCAACCTCAAACTGTCAAATGAGATTCACAACATGTTGAGCAATGTTTCAGTGTGTCAGACTTACACTACATTTTAAACATTTCTTTTTCTGGTGAGAGGTTGCCTTTTGTCACAGGTTCTATTTTTTATTTTTGAGGCACACAGAACCTAAAAAATCTAACCGCAAATATTGAAGGTTTTTTGAGCTTTAGCAAAGTGTTGTGTACCAACCTTAGCTGAGTTAGAGACGTTGTCCCAGTACGGAGAAGGAAAGTCCAATTTCCCGAGAAGTATCTGTTCAAAGAGCTCCTCTTGCCGATTGTTCTCACTTAACAATTAAAAGACAAAAGATTTATTAAAAAACATCTAAATGCTGCCTTCAGTGATGCCAATATAACACACCAGGCTTTATAGGTTATTTGACTTTGAGATGTTATTATGTCGTTTGTTTTTAATGTTTATTAAAAACATTTAACTTTATTGTGTTCATTTGTTGTATTTTTATGTACTTATTCATATAGAATCGTATTTATTTTAAACATTTATGTATATATTTTTAAATATGTTTTTTTAAAATCATCTTTAATTAGATAATATCCAATTGTGCATGACTGTTAATTTTGAACATTTCTTTTTTTATACACACATCCACAAAAAACCAACCAAAAGGAATTATGCAAGACAACTTTTTTCAATGCACAAGCTAAATTTTAAGACTAGAAATTGATTAAACAGTCCAAAACGGCAAATAAAATGATCCAACACAAACCTTTCACAAAAATCTACGTACATGTTCTTTAGAAAAAAAGAAGAAAAAAATTACTTCCCAAATGAAGATAAAAATATGCGTTAGAAGAATGTTAACCCAACCCATTCTTTACTTCCAAATTTTGATGATAAATCAAACCCTAGTAACCAACAGGCCCCTTTTGGTAATTATAAAGTTCTAGAGATATAATTAGATCTGAACTAACCTTCTAAATGGAGGGAAGCCACACAATAGGATGTAGGTGATCACACCTGCAGCCCAAACATCCACTTTAAGGCCATAACTGGAAGAAAATAGCAAAGGTTACAGTAAGATGCATTTAAAAAAAACATATTTTTAACATCTAGTATACCAAATTAAAGCAACACAGAAAAATATATGGAGAAGTGGTAATGTGTGTTATCATTTTTTACTGATAGTATCATAATTTATTTTTCATTTAAATTTTCCATGTTTTTCACACGACACATCAACACATGTTCCACTCTAGCTGTGTTTCCATTGACCATTGCAAAAATGTCAATTGAAAAAAAACTTTGTCAATATAAAGTTTTGGGGTTAAGATGAGGTATTTTTTTTGGCTGTAATCAAATTAGTTTATTTCACAAAACTTCAATGGAAACACATTTTTATTTTTGCATCACATGATCAACAACTGGATGTTGCCACTGGTGCAAACCATGAAGAAGAAGATGACATAACCACATAGTGGTAACTAGAACTACTGATAGTTACACTAACGGTTACCACTGATGGTAACCACTGATAGTTACCACTAACGGTTACCACTGATGGTAACCACTGATAGTTACCACTGATAGTTACCACTAACAGTTACCACTGATGGTAACCACTGATAGTTACCACTAATAGTTACCACTGACGGTTACCATCAGCAGTAACCATCAGTCAGTGGTAACCGTTAGTGGTTACCATCAGCGGTTACCATCAGTGGTAACCACTGATGGTAACCGCTGATAGTTACCACTGATGGTAACCACTGATGGTTACCATCAACGTTAGATTACTAGTTACTGAATCAGTGGTTCAAAGTCAGTACTGACATCACTGCACACAGGTTTGTCTTTTACCTTCGTGAACATGAACTCTGCCTCCCACCACAAACCCTCTGTTCTCAGCGTCCACTAACCGTTTGACCATTTCTGAGGAGGGGAACCTGAAAGTTGATCTCCACTCTGATTGCTGATGAAATGAAGCCACTCGTGCTGCAGCGGCTTCATTGGCTGGATCCGGCCCGCGGGCCTTGACTTTGACATATGTGCAGTAGAAGATGTAAAACCAACGGCAAACAGAAAAAGGAAATCCCACGTGAAAAAGTTCCGTCTGTCCTTCCATCCATCCGTCCTTCCATCCGGTCGTCCGTCCGTCCTTCGATCCTCCCATCCGTCCGTCCATCCAGTCGCCCGTCCATCCATCCATCGCTCCAGTCGTTCGTCCTCCAGGACCCTGCTGGGGGTGTAGAGCTGGTCCAGTGTTCCTCGACCAGGAAGAAAACCAAACTGCTCTTCCACAATCCGAGGTTTGGAAGAGCAGTTTTCCAAACTTTCTAAAAGAAAAAAAACCTCCTCTCCAAAACCCTTCCATCGTTCAACCCAGACCTGCTCTCTGGAAGAGACCCCAACACCAACAATGCTTCAGAGAGTCGGGCATGTTTCTTCTCAAGATGTTGCCCCTGAATTTGTTTTTTGTTGAGATGGCAGATTAGGAGCATTATTAAATATCCACGACGGGACCCAATATCCCAAAGTTCCCGACTCCCACATTGTTCGAAAAACACGCCCGACTCTCTGACACATTGTCGGTGTGGTCTCTTCTGGCTTCGTCTCTTCTTTTTCCTCTGTGGTCTGGATCTCGTGTAATTTCTTTTTATATTTAATTCTGTCTAGTTTAATTTTTAGAGTCACAATTTCCTCGTTTAGTTCTTTGTTCTCTGACTCCATCCAAACACGATTTCTGGCATGCTCCATTGATGAACTTTGTGCATGTCTCCTAATTGATATATTTGTTTGTTGAATTTGTTGACTTGTCCTATTAATATCTTGAAACTCATTTTTCAAACATTTAATCGTGGCTCTTGCCTCCAGCAATTCTTTATTCAGGTCCTTGATCTGATTTTCATTTTGCTCTTTTAAATCAAAAAGCATTTTGTTTTGTTCTTTGATGTACCTTAAATTGCTGTCAGTGCTGCTGGACATACGTTCAATTTTGCTCCTCAGTTTGTCCACCGTGATTTTGAGCCGCTGGTTCTCCTCTTCCAAAACTTGCACTTTCGTTAATAAATTGTTTTGTGCCATCGTTGATGTGTTTATCAAACTATCAAATGAATCTCTCTGTAGAATCTTGGAATATAGAGACAGTCACCAATGATGTCACAGAGAGGATGAGTGACATCACAGTTTTACATCAAAGCCACAAGAAGTCTGTTGTGTGGGAGGGGGGAGGAGCGGGGGAAGATGTTTTTTTTTTTTTACTTTATTTGCAGGCACACTGTATAACACCAGAGTGAAACATTTGTTATGCCTCAAGAAAAACAAATACAGATAAACAGTGTTCAAGAAAAAGCTAAGCTAAGCTAATTCAAAGCATTACAGATTTCAATTGTTTTAATAGCTACTTTTTGTAACTTCATTGTAAAATACAACATGGCATGGCTTTCCCTACCTGGAACAATGAGTATGATATTTAGCTCGTGACAATAAAGGATTTATGAGAAACTAAAAAAAAATTACCTGCAGCAGCATCATTCTCTAATACTTCCTGTCATCTTCTTTGTTATTTCTGCCAGTAGTAACATCCAGTTGTTGATCACATGACACGTGATTTGAAAAATGTGTTTCTGTTGTAGTTTTGTGAAATACACTAATTCTAGTTAGAAAACCAATTTATACAGTTAGAAAACCAACACAACCTAACGGTTGAGTTGAATGATAAAACATTTCTGGTTTATCACTCTAACCAGAAATGTTTCCTTGAACAACCTTCTACTTTCATTTTCTTGTGTAAGTAATTATTGACTTCCATCAAAATAACTTCCCAACACAAAGATGATGGTTTAAAAATTTAGAAAAAACATTTACACATGAGGCAATAACATTTTTGAGACTGGAGTTCACTTTGGTTTTGGCTATTCTCAGACTGGCTGTTAGCTTTAGCCTCTGGGATCAACTAATCAGGATTTATACAAAGTGAGGAGACATAAACTTTACTGTCTAAAGAGCCACCTCAAATTTAGGGTCTGAATTGTGGAACAGACTATATTTGTTACCCGACTGGTAAACATTCACTATTCAATTTCAAAACATCAGCTGCTTCTGGGTCCCGCAGGCCAAACAGGCCCGATAGGACTCCTTCTTCAGCCTGACACCGAAGGTGTCCACGGCCACAGCTCTGATAAGCCGCCTCGACAATGGAGGCACAGAACATGGCCCATTCAGACTCACAACACGTTTGGGCCTGCCAGGTCTGACCGGCATCCTCCCCCACTACTGGAGCCAACTCACCACCAGGTAGTGGTCAGTGGACGGCTCTGGACCTCTCTTCACCTGAGTGTCCATGACATACGGCCGCGGATATGATGAAACGATGACAAAGTCGATCATCAAACTGCGGCCTCAGGTGTCCTGGTGCCGAGTGCACATATGGAAACCCTTATGCCTGAACATGGTGTTTGTTATGGACGATCTGAGACGAGCACAGAAGTCCAACAACAGAACAGCACTCAAGTTCAGATCGGAGGGAGCGTTCCTCCCAACCTTGACCCTCCACGTCTCACTGTCATTGCCCACTTTAGCGTTGAAAATAAGTCTATAAATCTAATTGAGATAAAGCAATTAGGACAGAAACAAAAATCAGATTAATCGATTTTTAAAATAATCTAACTAATTAAGTAATCAATTAATTGTTAAGTGGAGTATACAGACTCAAAATCCTGGAAGTGGTAGGAGGATGATGGCACGGCATGTTTTTAGCGACTCCTTGCGGGAACAAACTTATTCACGTGTGATTTTAACTGCTTCTTAATAGAAGAAACACAACTACATTACATTTGTAATGGAAACATCCAGCTTACCCCGACTCGGCAATGATCTCTGGAGCCACGTATGTTGGGGTTCCACATACAGTGAACAGCGGCTCCTCCACGACTGTGGCCAAGCCAAAGTCCCCGAGTTTCAGCGACTTGAAGCCATCTGGATCCTCAAACACCTAAAAGATAACACCCAGATGTTAGGAAAGAAAAAGATATATTTGTTGTATTTTTTTAGGGATTGTGTAATACCAGCAGGTTCTCAGGTTTAATGTCTCTGTGGACAATGTTGATGCTGTGCAGATACAGCAGTGCTGCAGCCAGGTTGTGGACCATGGTGCTGGCATCTGTCTCTGTGTACTTGGCTGAGGACATGATGGCATCAAACAGATCCCCTCCCTGGGAAGAATTTAAAGAGAAATGTTACAAATCCAAACATACGCAAAACCAGATGTTGGCCTAATTTATACCTCTGACAGACCTTAACCAACTCCATAACGAGACACAACTCAGAGGGCGTGTCCACCTCCTCGATCAGCATGATGATGTTTGGGTGTTTCACTCTGCGCAGCACAGCAACTTCATTTTCTATGAGGTGTTCCTGGAGCACAGGTTGCACATGTGAATGCAGAAAAGCATTTCTTACAGATTTATTCTTTTTTTGTTGTTTTTGTTTTTTTGTGGTTATTGTTTTGTTTTGTTTTTTTGTCATAGTTATGTTTTTTGAGAAAAATAACAAACCTGGGCCTGGGTTTAAGGGAATAAAAAGTCCTAAAACATATAACTGGTTGTGCCAGTTTCGCCATTAGTTAATATGTTTCCATTGAGCATACAGTTGAACAAACTGGAATTACACACAAAAAATTTAAAAGAGAACGTTGTAAAGCAAAAGAATCCAAGTTTTTTTGCTCTTTTGAGACGGGGGTGTTTTTTTGGCTGTATTACTATATTTTGCAAAACTGCAATGGAAACACTTTTTTCACATCACAAGTCATGTGATCAACGACCGGATGTTACTACTGGTAGAAAGGAAAAGAAATCAGAAGGAGTAGGAGGATAACGGCGCTGCATGTTTTTTGATGACTTATTACATGAACAAACTTATTCACATGTGAATTTAATTGCATTGCTTACATAGTAGAAAAAGCGCATTGCAAAATTGTGTTTTCTCAATAGCGAAATATCAACTAAGTTTTGCACACATTTGTAATGGAAACACAGCTGATGATACCTGGGAATTAGCATTTTACACCACTATTGACTTATTTTAATTTAGTCACGTTGGAGGGTTTTTCAGCAGTTAATGGTCACATCGCTTTATCTAAATCAAGCCTATGGCTATACAAATCATACCAAAATATAAACACGATCATAATTGACTTTCGTTATGATTTTAACTTTTAGCATTTTTCCATTTTATAAATTAAATCCTCCTAAAATCGGTGACTTGTGTTCTTTATTTTGAATAATTAAAAAAAAAAGACAATCTGAAACCAAAAAATCTGTATGGGACAAATACTTTCTGCCAGCACAGTATACTTCACAAACTAAATTTTTATTGCAGTAAGCAGACCAAATCATATGCGTGTCTGTGACATTATTTAAGGAGTTTATGTTATCTCTTATTTGCAGGATGTTGCTGTGTCCAGGCCTTCTGAGGGGTCTTGAGCTGTTTAATCTTTTCATATGCTGTTTTCAGTGTGTTCACTCATGTTTGCTCATGAGTGAACACACTTAAGTGTGTGTGTGTGTGTCATTCTGGGACGTATAAAAACTAAATTAAAGGAAGATAATAAAAATGGTTCAGAAGAAAAACCTTTCCACTGCATTTGGCTTTGTTGATGATCTTGAGAGCAAACTCTTTCCCCGTGGACCTGAACAGAAACAGAGCAATAAGAGGGAACATTAAAAACGGCACTAAAGCAACCATAAAATGTGTAATTCAAGAGATAGTGTCATTAAAATGTGTGGTGCAGAAATGGACAAACTCAGCAGGAATCAAATACTTCAGTAATGATTCAAGACGGATCCCAAACACCCCAACCAACATGAAAAAAGTTTCAGCAATGTCTCTTTTAACAAAACTGCAGCGTTTCAGCAGTTTTGCATGTTCTGGAAGTTTGTTCCAGATTAGAAAATAAAAAAACTGAACTGATTCTAGGTCTAAAATAATGACATTAAAGTCCATGGAGTGAGTAGTGAGGAGGAACTTGGTGGAAAAAAAATTTATTGAACCACTGGTTCAGCAAAAACAAACCGGATGTAATGGAAACTATTTTCAATAATGTTTTAACCTCTCGGTCTGCATGCTAATTCTGAATGAACAAGATGTCATTCTATGGCTTGTAGAAAGACAATTGGACATCATAATGACCAATATTGGCTCGTGTTGTTGTCCACCGTGTGATGCTGGAGTTGATTCCCTGCTGACAAATGTACATTTAACACTTCCAGTGTTATCCTCTTACCTCTCCACACACTCTTTAACCACAGCGAAGTTCCCATCCCCAATCACCTTGCCAACAATGTATTTTTCCAAGATGCTGGAGGCTGCTGGGCACTGGTTTCCATTAACTGAAAAGTGGAGGCAAATATTAGTTTAGCATCAATATACATTTAGGTCTGCCAAAAAAGAAACAAAAACAAAACTATTCCAGATTAATAAACTTAATAATTTACCTTCTGGACTCACTGTTTTCTCTAGGTGATTATTTATGGAGTCATTCCCATTCACATTAGGGGAGGATGTTTGAAATGACAGTGGTAGCTGTAGGGCACAACAAACAGAGAACTGAGACTGATCAGCATTTACAGAAGGAAAATATTTCAAAAGTATATAGTTGAAAAAAATTAGAACTCTTTTAGAAGATGAAAATTCTCTACTAACTGTTGCCTTAATGTCAGAGGCAAATCAGGAGATTTGTTTTATTAATTTTGGAAAAAATATATATGCGTTTATAAAATGAATGAAAATGTCGTAGATGAAGCTAGCTCTGTAATAGTAGCTGTCTATTGCACCTTTAAACGGGGGATGGCTCGTGGAGACGGGCTGGTGGGAGATGGAGTGGAGGATTTAGTGGACCTGTGAGCTGAGACACCGTTTACTGTAGAAAGGTCATACAAAGGAGGGAAAAGGTCAAAATAGAAAATTCACTTTCCAAGGCAAGGAGCATACTTTTGAAATTTTACTTCGGTAGGTACAAATACAAAAACATTGTTAAAGTAAAGTATCTGAAAACTGTTGAGAAATGTTCAGACATCTTCTCTTTTGATAGACCTCAAAAACACAGCTTGATTTGCTACAGTTGATACCAGATTTTACATACACTGAAGAAAAATAAAAACGGCATCTTTTTATTCTGTGTATGTAAATATCTGGTTTCAACTGCGCAGCCATTCAAAGAATAAATTGAAATGTTTGAAGCATTACCCTGGGACTTGATTGAAGACAAACTGGAGTGATGAATGGGTTTCCTTGCTTCAGTAAGTATAACAAAAACATAAACAGTGAAATGTGTTAAACTCAGAGTAGAATATAAATGAATACACAAATACAGTCCAAGCATGGTTTGGAAATGATTTTTTATTATATTTTTTTCATTTTATTTATTTTATTTTAGATTTCTAGGGCATGATGTTAAGGCTTTAGACCACCCCCACCATATGTTGGGGCGCTTTCCTATTGGGATTGAGATTGACCGTAGTGATCTTACCATTACCATCCCCACTCCCTCTACCAAAAACTGTCAGTGCTGGAGGCCAAGATGCAGCAACATGTCTTCTGTCATTGGACACAGTGTCTTATTGAATAGGTCACAGGGGTCAAATATGTCAAAGAACATGTGATAATATAGTTTTGAGCTTTTGCTGATCGAGCCTAAAACTGGCTTTACAGACTCTATGTGGCTAAATGTGTAAATCTATTTTCAAAACCAGAATATCTTGCTTTGCAAAAGAGTATCACTCAAGAAGGTCTCTTATTTTCTTAACATTTTTTAGTCAAACTATCACAATCAATTTTGGAAATATGTTCTAAAACAAAGGATCAAAGTATTTCTCACCAGACCCTGGGGACTTGCTGCGTCGTGAAGGTCTGGGGCTCTTTCCAGCCCAGTTAGGAGTAGTAGATCGACTGTAGGATGTTTTTAGGACTTTGCATTCTAAGGAAGCAAAGGTTGCAGATAAAATATTCAATGTGGCATTAATCTGAGGGTGGAAATATATTTTATGTGTGCTGAAACATTATGAATGCTGGATGCCACACTCTATCATTTCTGAAGAAACTTTAACAATCTGTGTTGAACAATGTTTACTCCTGAAAACACATAGATACTACACACAAGAATGTAAAGTATTTTGAATAAAACCTATAACTTTGGGGATGATGGTGTCAAAGTTAGTAGGAGTTTGTCCTGCAATCGGCGGGTTGCTGGCTCAATGCCCACTCCATCCGCTGTCTTTGGGCAAGACACTTCATGGCACCTGATGCATGGCAGTCTGAGACTGCCATGTGACTGCTGTGTGAATTGGGGCCACCATTTGGGGCAATCAGGGCCACCATTTATGGCCACTAAAAGCAGGCAAGCGTGACGTGTCTTCCCAAGGACACAACGGCAAAGTGATTGAGACAAGACAAAGCAGGGGTTTGAAAAGGTAACCCACCGGTTGCAAACTCTCTACTTCTAATTTTAATTTTTCTTGCTGCACTTTTTAGCCTGCAAAGTTCTTCTAATTATTTATGTATGAAAACACACTCAATCCCTTCCAATTTACATGTGAATTGACAAATTATTCTTCTCAGCTATATAAAATATTTCAGCACTTTCGTTAAGTAATAGAGTTTGGCCAGTGTAGATGTAGACTTACTTTGTCATTACACAAAGATATGACAGCGGCTGTATTTCTATTACAATCATGCGCAAAACTGTCAATATTCCGCTAATGTTAGAAAAACACAATTGCAAATCACAAGTTTGTTCATGTGATAAGTCATTGAAAAACATGCCATGCTATGATTCTCCAACTACTTCCTGTCACCATCTTCTTTGTGGTTTTCGCCAGTAGTAAAATTTGGTTGTTGATCATGTGACTCATTTGATGCAAAAAAAGTGCTTCCATCGCAGTTTTGTAAAATGGGCCAAGTTCAATACGACCAAAAATCCATCTCATCCTAGTGTCAAAACATTTAATTGAAAAACTTTTTAAAAAAATGTTATTAGCATGTTTCCACTATGTGAATTTATTTTAGAGATGTCACATTGTGCAGTTATATGGTCCATGGAAATGCAGCTACTGACATTAACAACAAAATGTTGTACACAAAAAAAAGTGACCATATACACATATACACAAGTGTATATGTGAAAAAAATAGAATATTACACAAATTGCTAGAAGTATTTAGAAACCGAACAGCAGTCTCTTTTGCTTAAGAAGGGAGCGCTGTGTCTTTTTTGTTTCTTTAGACATAAATCTTATAAGTGGAGCAAAGGAGTGTAAGTGGGGCAAAAGCTGCATAGTGTCTCTGAGTTTTGTTAGTTGACCTGAGTAGCAGTTTCACATCATGATATGCCTCCTAACTGTATGCTAACCTGACCAAATATAATGATTAGACAGGATGTCACTGCTGCAGACAGCAGCAATAGCAATAACTCCCTTTTCCTTCTCTGGAGCTGACTTCATCTCGACCGAAGGACACTATTGCTAAACCAGGTCACATCCTGCCTGTGTTCTGAGACTTTGAGTCAGCTCTCTGGCACTGATGTCAAATTAAACACACTGGTACTAGCAAGCATACAAAATAACATGAAATCAGAAATGGATGCATACTTAAAAAAAGGCAATCAAATTAGAAAATACACAAACTCCATGCTGCGTAAACAAAAAGAAGGCTGCAGAAGCCAGAGCCTGCATTAAGAGAGAGAACTAGAGGTAACAAAACACAAGAAGTGCATTCAAAAATGTAGAGGAGGTCACTTTAAGTTCACCTGTAAATTGTAGTGCTTTTAAAGTTCACTCAAGTTTTGCATGAAAGCCAAAAATGCCTTTTTGTAAGTAGTGCATGTTAATAGAACGTACCAGTAATCAGGGCCGAGGAGGCCTTACTGCTATGCTCCAACACAAAGTCATCCTGGGCATAGCGGTACTTCTCTGGACCACATGCTATGAACACATCATCATCCCCGAAAAAGTCTTTCAGGCAGGTAATCTGGTAGAAAGGAAGAAATGTTTAAGATTAATATGAGTAATGATTAATTAAAACTGTTTGAAAATGTTGGGTTTTATAATATAATGTAGAATACTTTCAGTGAATCTGAAATTTGTTCGTGGAAATCTAATGGAGAAAACACTTGTCAAAAATATTAAACTTTTAGATGTGCTTCTACAAGAGCCAGGAGGAGGGACTCAGTGCTGTCAATGAACTTTGTTTACATGATGCTCAATGTGCCACTGGTGGAAAATCAACTTACTTTTATAGGAAAACTGATAATCTGCAGTGATCTGTCGCTATTCTAACTACCATTACCTTTAAGACCCTCCTCCTAGCTCTGATTGGTTGTTTCATTTCATTGTTTGAAAGCAAGGAAGCTCCGTTTTTCAAACCGTGATATTATGACATAATGACAGTTTTTACAAAACTCTAATTAAAAAAAGATACATACTGCAGCTTTAAGTGTGCAATTCTCCAAACCACAAGTGTAAAAAAACCAAACAAACATCCAAGTCTGAGCTGCGACTTATCTCAGTTTGTCTTTATACCATTTCAAGCTGTGATCATCAGTTTCTCTGCTCCTCCAAACAGTTATTTTTTACACCAACCACACACACTCCCTCTATTTAGAAGCTGAACTTACATAATTAAACTGTGCTCTGGCACACCCATACACAAACAGAAATTATCCCTTTGTAGCTGTAGGTGGACAAGGAGGAAGACAAATGAGAAGATCCCTTGATTATCCCACTTCCCACCTTGCATTTGAACACCCTCATACTGGCAGTCTTATCCTGTGTGGGCAGATGGATTCTTAAAGGGGGACATGGCGTAGGAGGGGAGTGTGGGTTTGACTATTCAGGATCACTACTACATGGTGGCTCAGGAACACTTAATGACTCCAGTAAAGCATAAGGAGGCAGGATGAAGATAAAATACTGCAGACGAATAAGGTGCTTTGTAATTTAATCAAAAGAGCTAAAATGTTAACTTTTAGTGGGTTCATGTTTATATCCAGTCTCTTTAAATGCAAAGCCTTTGCATGGCAACACATGCAAAGTTACAGTCTAAGCAAGGGACAGCCGAAGTCTGTAATTAGCTACTGCAGACGGTTTGGTTTTATAAAGCACAAGTGTGTCACATTCTTTACATGAGTTCTTATGGTGGAATTTGACAGCTGAATGCTGCACTGTTTTGCTGGGTGTTGGGAACACCATACTAAGAGCCCGAAGAGTTTGTCACACACATGTCAAAAATAAACCTGTCCATGGAGATTCTTGGACTGATTAATACTAAGTGCTGAATCAGAAGGATGGTGAACTGTTTTTCTTGAACCAATTACAATAATCACGTCATTTCCTATTAGTTCAAATATCTAATGAGGCCTAAAAAGCCTGAAATTCTTACTGTGTTTAGGCATGACAGTAAGAAGAGACCTGGGTGATTCAATCACTAGAGATACAGAAAAAAATCCATTCTATAGAAAATCGCAATTCCCAGTGCTGGTCATTCTGATTCGATTACAAATGCTCAAAATCTATTTGTCTGTTGTTTTTGTTAAATTATACTTTTAATAATTCTTTGGGGTTTTTTTCTTTGTTTTTTTTATTCAAGAAAAAAAAACAGGGAGTTAAACTAACCAAATACTGGTAATTTAAGCCACATAGTTTTATGCACAAACCTATTTTTGTTTAAACATTTGATTAAATTTGATTCAGTTTAGTGCCTTATGGAATATTAAATTCTGAATTTCTTTACACGCTCTCTTTTTCTCTTGCCAGTCAAATAAAAATATATTTGTGTCATCTACAAATAATTGTCATATTTACACAAGCTTTACACATATAGCTTCTTTACTGACCTTTGTTTCACTGTGCTTTATAGACCAGAAACATTTCCTGACCTAAACTACAATGCGAATATATTTGCTGTCAACACAAATATGGGAGGCAGCAGAGATGCCAGTGGAGATGATTTTAAAACCCCTTACTAGATCCACACTGGCTTCCCCAGCAGCTCTGCAGAACCGCAGCCTCATTGCATCCACGCAATAGTGGAACGCAGAAAAAAAACCTACACGCTACAGTGCACTGACATACTTTTCAGTAGGCTGATATTTCTGGATCAAAATCCTTTTATTCACTGGCTAAAAGCCATAATGAGCCACATTACCAAGGAAAAAAGCTTCAAGTATATAATCCCAGTTAAATGAGTTTGAGTTAACTTTTTAAACTGAATCATTATCATCAGACGATAAGCCATGCTACTGAGTGGAACCTGTACTTAGACTTTGGAGGATTTCTTCAGCAGCTGCTAGGGAAGCACATATTAACCAGAGGAGAGGATTCATTTGGCGACATTACCTGCTTGCCTTCCAAAGTGTAAAGCCTTCTCACAGCTCCGGAGTCCAACTTGACGGCGTCAGTAATATCCGTGAGCACCTGTTCAAAGGAGTGCGCTGTTTTCTTATTGAGGAGAATCCGAACCGCTTTGCGAGGCCTGACGCCACTGCGAATCACTGTGACAAGTTTGGGTCTGATGAACTCCTTGGATTCCCGCTGTAGTTCACTCTTTAACTGGTTGAGGGATGAGAGGGAACGTGATGTACCCGTCTTACTGCCTACTGTCCAGTTGGGATTGACATTCTTGGTGTAATCTACGCATCGAAATGGCTCATTAGAGGCGCACACGTAGCTCTCACCTGGCAAAAAAACAGTGATTTAACACAATCAATACATGGATTTTGCAGATATATGTACTTATTATTATACAATAGTACCAGATGTGTGGCATGTTTATGTTATGTTAACTTTCTTCAATTAATTCAAAACAAAACAAAACTTTTTATTTTTGGAGCAAAAGCAGAATAACCAAGAATCAGCACAGATTCAGTAATTACAGCTGGATGCAACTGGTCAGGACTGAAATCTGAAAAGTGACTTGAACATTTAGAAACGCATGACGACAGTTACAAAGTCAGCCTTCTGTCCACAAAGACCATTTGTGGAATTAAAGGACTAAAGTCCCGGCAAGCTGTACAGAAACTCATTCATGCGTTTAACTTTAGTCACATTAGTTATTGCAGCAGCGTCTTCACAGCTCTGTCTAAAATCCTGCCCAGTCATAAGGGGCACACAGGGGAATGATGCTTGATTTGGTTTGCACACTAACGTCCAAGCTGGCTCTATTCAGTGAGGCCAGAGTGTTGGGCTGCACACTAATGTGTCCCAAGGCTGAGCAAACAAAGGAAAGGTGTAGTTTTTATTACTCAAATTGAAACAAAAACAAACATACAAAAAAAAAATCCAGATTCAGCTTAAGAAACAGCCGCTGGTATCCTCAATAACTTTAGGTCTACATGTGCCAAACTACTGTCGTTTTCATATGTAGATCATGAGCTGCCCTAAATCCTTCACAGAGTCTCTGGGGAACTGGTACAGGAAATGAGTGCAGCCCAGAGATTCAGAAGTTAGGAGGAGGTGAAATAAAAATAAACCAGTATACAATAATAACTCCAGTAAGAGGTCAGTGAATCCTGAGGTATCATCAAGTAAGAATCCTTTTTCTTCTGTTCCAGTGGACTGTAACCTGGCTTGAGTGCAGATGAGATAGTTTAAGGGTTTGAAAGGACTAATAGCCAATCACAGAGTTGTGTCAATTGCACAAAAAAGAAAAAGCAAAAGCTCAGGTTCTTTTTGTGTCCGACTTTAGGAATTGACATTTGGTCTCCTTCTGACAACAAATCAAACTAAATTTAGCCTGATGGTGCAGCTTTGTTCTCAGTATATTTATTTACAGGTAAATTGTAAACCATGAATTCTGAATGGAAGAAATTTGGAGCAAAGAAGCTCCTGGAAAAGTCCAAGTACAAAAACGCACACACATACACACCTTTAAAGGCATACACTAAGGTTCACACAGTATATTCACACTCACACAAACTTGCTGGTAATTAAATGACTTGTGATGCGAGTTGACAGTTGTGCACATTGACAGACCATTAAGGAGGAGGCTATCTGCATGTGTGGCTCTAGGTCACATGTCAGGGCAGATATGTCAACAATGATGTGGTTCTTTGGATTCGACATATACAGTGAATTGCTCAAGACATGTGGGGAAAAATCTCAGTAAAGATGATCTGATCAAAGAAAAATGACAAATTGTGGACACGTATGGTGCAAAAACTATTACTATGCCTTGAACTTCTTTACATCAAGTCACACAATTTTAAATGGAAAACAAAGAAACGAGTGCATAACGTTTAAGTTGTGTAAAAATGACACAAATTTTAAGAATGCTTGTGTTTAAGCTACTATCGAGTAACACAATTCAGTGCAACAGCTTCATCTATTAGTCACCTAACTAGTAAAAGCAGTCAACTGTGTAACTTAAACTCATAAATCCAGATGCTATGTGAAGGCACCAGAGGTTTGCTGGCAGAGGTGGATAGTTGCATTTAGTCGGGTGAATTTTGACAAAAGTCTTCAGTTTGGTGCATGGTCTGAACCTTTTTGGAGGACAATTTTAGACTTTATAACTCATTTCACTTGTTGGTTGATTTATTTATGGTGGATATTTAACATAAATGTATTTGGAGTTGCTATAATGTGGCTCTTCTTCATCGACCTTACCCTCCAGCAGCTCGTCCAGGCTGGTGATCTTCCTGCCGCCGTCCACCGTGTACAGCATCCGGACTCCCTGGGGAAGGTTGACGTTGTCCGACAGGGACCGCGTCAGCTCCATGAGCAGCGCAGCCAGGGACCGGAACCGGTCGCTGGACACGGCGTACACCAAACCCTTGAAGTATTTGTCCCCGTTGCGGTAGAAGCGCACTTTCCGGGCTTTTTTCTCGGAGGTGAGGGACTGCAGGGTGCGCGTGCGGTAGAAGCTGCAGTGCGTGCTGTGCGCCGGGCTGGGCGCGAGACCGCCGCCTTTAGACCTGCAGTGAGACCCAGAGCCCGGGTTGGTCTTCGGAGCGCGGTGGGTCCTGCCTCGCTCCTCGAAGTGCTCGAGTTCGACTCCTCTGCTCAGAGACATGCCGCGTCCGCCGCTGTCTGCCCCGTCCAGCAGAAATGAGAAACTTTCACCCAGAAAGTGGAGAGAGAGAGCCCGTTTCGCTCAGTGAGTAAATGATGCGTCAAAGCGGTGCGGGTCCGCAGTCATCAGACAGCTTTCTGTGAAATAAGCAGAACTTCACAAAAAGAAAAGGTGAACAGCAGAAGTGAAACACGCAGGTTATCTCCTCATCCTCTCATCCTGTCCGGATTACAATCTGATCAAACTGTCAGATCAATAATGGCACAGAGGAAGAGGAGGAGGAGGAGGAATTGTTTCAGCCTCGGGGTCCTAATGCCCCTTAATGCACCACAAGAAAAAAAAATATCTGGGGTCGAAAATAATAATAATAATTATTCGCAATGTTTTAAAAAATACAAGATTTGCTTGTAGATACAAATTGGTGATGCAAGCTATAACACATTTCTGTATTTGTGACAGTCAAAAAGATCACTAGCTTATGCCTTTTTTGTTGTTGTTTTAGTTCACACTTTATTAGCAAAACTTTATTTTAGGATCTGATTTATTTTAAACCATCATCAGTGATATTTAAAGCAATAAAATATTTAAAATGAAAATAAGAAATTGTCAGTAAGAAATGTAAGAGTACGGGCTCCATTTCTGGGGATGAAATTATGGAATGTTCTTAATATATGCATCTGTGCAAAGTAAAGACATGAATCAGTTTAAATGAGACCCATCGTTAGTTGTAGCAATAATCTGATAAACATTTATTTCAGGAAAATGTGGTGCAAAATTTGGACTCAGGTTCAAGATTAAAAGAATATTTGATGTGTTAATAATTTTGACAATTTTGACAATGGCGCTTGAATAAATTTAATGTCTGTTACTGGATTTCGCAACTGTTGACTGTCCGATGTGTTTATGATGTCTTTTTATGTTTTCACAATGAAAACATGAAAACATTGAATTGCTGTGTTGCTGAAATTTGCTATACAATTGAACTTTATTGATTACTAATATTTTTCATAATGCATACATTTATCTATAGCAAATACACACGGGAATTTCTTCAAACTGCCCAAATGTAAATCAGCCATGGGGAACTATAGATTTCCTTGTTTATGGAAGTATAAAATCATACAGGCTTTCCGGCGGGCAGCACGTGGGGACATTAGCTCCGCTCCTCTAATGCTGTGTCTCCTGGGGGTGACAGCCTGGGCACCTCCATATTCACATAGAGATCAGATATTTCCTGTTGATGCTGGTTAGAAAATCCAGGGTCAACGCCAAGACCTGCCTCCCGACTCTGATTGGTTGCGTCTAGTCAGCACTAGAAGAAGGCAGAGGAGCCTGATGTCTTTTTTTTCCCCACAGGTCATATGTGTTTTACTGTCACAGAGTGACAGTTTCAACAAATATGTAAAAAAGAAAAACAATTCTTAAAAGTGACTTACTGCAGCTTTGAAATATCTGTCCGTAAATTACATACATGCCAAGTGATTTTTTTTTATTTTGTATTTGTGCGGTATGAGTTGTGTTTTTGTTGTTCTTTCGTCCTTTTCTGAATAATCAAAATATCAAATGTAAATTTTTTTTTTAAGTTGATCCATTATTTGTATTTTTTTTTTACTTTAAATATGTTAATAGAGAAAGAGCACCACATCTGTGAAGATAAAAATATATCAACACACTTCAAGAGGGATAAATGACTTGCAAACAGTTAAAAAGAAATGCATCTGATCTAAAAGGTTATTCAAAGAAACAGCTAGCAGTTTAAAAAATACTAAAACATTTATTTATACAGACATGGGAAAGCAGAATACCCGTGTGTTTCCTAAAGATATCCTGAGGCTCCAAATGGAAACGCCAGTGGTTGTGGATGTATTGTTTCAGCTGCATTTCCGGGAGGAAGCCCTGAAGGAACCTAATATGAATTGCCTTCCTCCAGCAGAGGGAAATCCTGTGCAGAACAACAAAGTGAACCTCATGATAAACGTCTTATAAAATCTAAATAAATGTTACGTTAACTGCACAACATAAGCCTTTTAGGGGTTTTTGTTCTACTGCTGTCTACTATTGTCCAGCTGGAATACAAATGGGGCTTTTTTCTTCTTTTTGAAAAATCTAAATTACTTCCAATCTGTGTCCAATTCAAAGTAAATGACATAAATGAGCATTAGTGGCAAAGAAACAGATTGAGAAGTAGATTTACAATATGGGAATATTTTATGCATAAAACATCCCCGTATTCAATATGATGCTCACAGTACTGGTATAATACCTTTTGAAACTAATGCTGGGAATTTCTGAACTGAAATAAGTTCCAATGTTTATAAAAAAAAACAGAAGAAACATCTAAAACACAGATATTAGGAGTGGCATCACTTGCCAGTTTGAAAGGTTTTCATAGAAGAATATAAATCTCTCTCGCCCTCTAGTGTTTAAATACTAGGGATGTAAAAATATAATTCCTTATTTTTTTAATAAATACTTTTTTAAATCCAAAATAAAAACAGTAACAATCTTACTGTTTTTATGTGTGAATTGATGAATTAAGAAAAGTGATCTAAAAACTATACACATCCATCCATTTTTCCCCAAGCAATACATTTAGTCTGAAAAAAAAAACAACACAAAAAACTGTCAGTTCCTACAAATGTATTCAATCATTAACATGTTTTCATAGACACGTTAAAATCAAATAAATAAATAAACCAATGTGCACAAAACAGAATTGGTACTGGAAGCTTAACAACTCACTTAATTTTGATCAAGAGTAGAAATACAAACAGACAGTTAAGGAGAACTAACTGAAATAATAACAATAAAAAAAGGAAATAATTTTTAAATATGAGATTAGCATATGTTTTGGATGGAAGCTGGATCTGACCTAACCAAGGTCCAATAAAAACTATGAAAGATACTGTACATACCTGAACAACACCTCACCTGAACATGCATCAAAAACTCTACAAGTTATTTAAAGGAATCATAAACTAACTTTAAATCAATAGGAGCAGATTTATGATGAAAGAAAAATGGTTTGAAGGAGAGCAAAGTTCTCATTATTGTTTTGAATGAGAAAAAAGGTAGAAAAACTAAACTGCATGTTAGTTTAGTAATCAATTTACTAAACTAAAATATAATCAATTTAATTCCCCCCCTTGGGTCAATATATTATTGAAATGAATAGAAGTGGCATGGATTTCCTTGATCAGCTCTGATCCATAAAGATGCATTTATATTAGTTGGAGATTATTTATCTAACATTGATGTTCAAAGATCTAAAATTATCTGCTTTTACTGACCATTTATGAGTAAAACGATTCCAGTTCAGACTCTTATTCTTTTTTGTTGATGTACCTTAAGAAGAAAACTTAGTGGAGAGAATATAGTTTTATCTTCTGTATTTCTTTTTTTACTCCATTTATTATTATTATTTTTTGCTTTATGTTTTTGTTTATGAATTTGTCTAGCATTTAGCATCCCGAGCCACACTCCAGTCCAATAGGTGGCGGTAATGAACCAAAACGTTGCTCGCACACCGACAAGAAGAAGAAGCATCGCCCGAACTGGAGGGATTTTCAGAGCGGTGCATTGCTGCTAACACAGCTAGCAGGAGCAACTCAATATACAGCGAACTGGTTTATGTTTACAAACAGCACTACTGAGGTAATGTCTTATTCCTTCCAGGCTTTGTTTCATAAGAATCCCCTGGCATGTTGTGGGTGGCCGTTAACTTGTCAGTTTAAACTGTAACTCATTTTTATGAGTGGTTTAGCAGAACAACTACTCCAGTAGAGCAACTTAGCAAAAGCAAAATAGTTGATACATCTGAGAACTTAGCTAGGTTTTAGCTCTTAAATGTGTCATTTTTACGTCATTCTTCTAGCTTGTCAAAGAAGTTAGCTTATGACACTTGAGTTTTGATACACTGGTTTGGTAATTCCTATTTAGAATATTTGGTTGTCTCGTTGGATAAATATGAAGACTAAACATGTATATTGCAATTTTTCTGTTTTGTCATTTTGACTTTGGAATTCAGTGCTGTTGAGGTTGGATTTAACAGGTTAACTGAGTTCTTAAAAAATATTAATTTCCATAATTATCTTGAAGTTGCTAAATCAGATTAGGTAAGCCTTAATATTTATGTTTTTTTTTTGTTCACCCCACAACAACCTTCTGCTTATATGTATAAAATTGTTTAACTATTGACAATATAACAGTAACCTTCTGCTTCAATATGGATTATTAATTAGTTATAATTTAAAAACGTACACTACACCAAGCAAAGCAAGAAAACCAGAATGTTTTTTTGTTGGTAGTCATGTGAGAAAGAAACAAAGTCCAATAAATTATTTGGTCGCCAGAACAGAAGAAATGTTTGGCAAAAACCAAAACTGTCAGAATATTTTGACGCCAGAGACCTTTTTTTGTTGGTTGAATCATCCATAAGATTATTTTGTAATCAATCCATTATGAAAAATGTAATGAAAAATAATATTTGACCTTAATAATTATGGTTAGTCATTTTTAAAAATCGCTTAAGTATTGCTTGCGATTGAATTTTCATGTGTTTTTTCTTTCACTGTTATGATGATTTTCACTAATATTGTTTGCCTCTTGTTAGCATTCTATTACACTGAGAACATTTAAAATGGATCTGGAAGATGACACCACTATTTTAACGACCCTGAAGTCCTTTAATACCTTCATTAGTCGCCATGAGCATCCACAGTGTCCGTCAGAGCAGTCGGGGAGCGGGAGCCTGCAGCCTCACTTTAAGCGCAGCATGGAGGTACGAAGAAATCATTTACGTAGACTTGAACTTATCAAAAACACTAATTAGCCTTGACATTGGCTTTTTGGATTTAATTTTCATTTTATTGATTTATTTATTCCTAGTTTTTGGAAGCAGCAGAGAGGGTTCACTCTCAGCACCGCTTCCTGCAGCTGGACCAGGAGAAGCAACAGATGGAGCTGAGTCACAAACGAGCTCGGTTCGAACTTGAGAAGGCAGCTTCTGAAAGCGCTCGAAACCTGGAGGTACAAGACAAGTTCAGTGTCTAATAGAGATGCACTGATGATTTGATAACAATATTTGTGTCGTTCCTGATAGATTGGGTATCTGACAGTGTGCTAAATCCTTTTTATGTAAATATGTTTTAGCCAAAACTCTTGAAGTGTCCTAACTTTAGCTTCAACTGCTTCAGATTTACTAAATGAATG